ATAAGTTGAGGCAGATAAGCAGATTGCAAATGTTTAAAAGAAACAATAAGTTATATGAGGGAAAAGCTTAGTTACAATTATAAGACCAAAGGGAATTGACCAAAATTTATTGACCAATGAATTATTGTACCAGTAACTGTATTTTCATTTTCTCCTCTTTAATAATGGAGGTTAGTATTGGATGAGGATGTTAGTAGTGGATGAGGAATGATAGAGCAGTGGAGTAAATATATTGGGATATGGTAAAAATGAATTAATTGAATGGCTAGCAGAATGATTTTTGAATAGTACAGATCATGGTAGATTATAAACGGAAAAATTAAATTGATAAGAAGATTTTAAGATTAATGTTTTAAAATTGAAATATTTAAAACCCAAGATTAATTAAATTAAATTTAGATGAAATGTATTTATGATAAATTATGATGACTTAATGGGGAAAGGGTTGGGTTTGGATAAAGTGCTAAACATGTGATAACTATGAGAAAAATTGAGAAAAGTGATTTAATGTATTTAATTATGAACATAAAAGTATTGGTGTTAGTGGATATAGGGGAATCATGTGAAAGGATGTCTTGAATGGATGGAGTGATGGTATTTGTTGGTTGAGGGTAATAATGTCTGATTTGTTGATGTTTGGTTTACAAAATTTAATTGTGTTAAAAGAGTGGTACTTTAGATGTAGAGTGAGCTAAGCTAGAGAAGCCTTGATTGTGTGTAATGGAAAAGATATTCTATAAGGAACCAGAATAATGTATATCCTAGTAGAAAATTAAGGAAATAATATAGTGTTGAAAAGGTGGGGAAAATAGGAAATTATATATAAAAATTAAAAAAGAGAGGGCAAATTATCCATAAAATTATAAATTAAAGCCCATATATGGATTGCAGAAAATTGTTTATGAGGTATGAGGTGGTATTTGTACAATTATGAAAGATATACAACGCAGTTAAGAGGGAATGTAATAATTCCTAGAAAGATATATTGGTCCAAAATGGAAATAATGAAGGGGAAAAAGGGAAGATGTTAAAATGAAATGAAATCTTAAGAATTTGTCACTCTGTGTTGTTAAGAAAAGTACATGTTGTACAAGAAGTTTGTATATATGAAATCTGTGTAAATCTATATGCTATTGGCTTTCTAAATGAAATAAATAAATTATAAACCGCAAAAAAGAACTCCATGCATACACCAGAGTGCCTGAGGAGTTTTCAAACACAACATTCTATTGCAATCCCATATACTTCTTCAAGTCTAGTCAATGTTAGCATGACTTTCATGCACGTACAAAGAAATAAAATATCCAGACTTATGTGACACTAAGAAGTTTAATACAAAGCTGCTCAATTAAAAACCTACGTTTTATTGCTTAAAAGGAAAGAAAAATATAGCATAGCCACAAATACTACAGAAATAATTATTATAGGAAAGCTTCCTGGCAATATAAATGTTCAACTTAGCATAATTGTGTCAGGGAATGAAAATCTCCAAGAAGCTGACTAGGAAATAGTCGGAGGACGTGACCTATGAACAACACAACAATGTTCAACTGAAAACAAAGGAGAAAACCAAAATACAGTGTCTTATTTGTATTTTTTTTTAATGAAACAAAACTATTTTCAAAAAGATTACATTTTTAATCAATTTTGACTGAGTTTATAATGCCATGTAGGTTTTAGTCAAATAAAGCTCTCCTGAAGCTTAACTGACCCTGTAAAAACTTACCAATTCATGTAAGTTGCTTTTTGACACATTTATTCTAAATAAATATGCAAAGGTAGCAACAAGAACGATTTGTACTGAAGCAAACCACCATGTCTTTGAAACGGATAAAGTATACATATCTGGACTCCATGTATAGCTGGTGGCTGGCTGTTTATATTAATATATTTAATTTTATAAATATAATAAAGATGTGGCTACTCAGTAGCAGTAAGCATGGACTAAATCGGGGTCCCCAACACGGTGCCTGGACTTCTGACTAGCCAGGGGAGAGACAGGCTGCGCAGATTAAAATTACATTGTTTCAGAGGCAGCTGTCTCCACAATATTGGTTTTATTCTTTCTCTCCTGTTTCCCACAGCATTTTTGGAAAAATTACTCCTCTTGTCTCCTGCATTTGGAATTTGTGTGTGTGTCCCTCCACCTCCTGGGGTGACCATTTTGTGGTTGGCTCCACCTCCCACAACAGAATTCCAAAAGATGCCCTCCCACAGAGACAGATAGTTACTCTTCTCCACAGTTGCAATGTGCTAATCCTGGCATAACCAGTCTCACTGTGGGCCAATGGATACAGCTAGATTTAGACAGACCAACCACAATACATGCAATTCCTCTATAGTCAAAGCTAATGAAACATCATAGCAGTGTTCTCCAGAAGAGAACAGGCTTGTGCAGTTTCCCTGTTGCTGCAGATACAGTACAGTGGCAAGAAGCCTTCAACATGGCAGGTTTCCCTACATTTCCCCTGCCCCACCCCAGCACGAACCACTCCCCCTGCCACCAGGGGCTTTTTCAGTTTTGTTCTATTTTTAATCAGCAGCTGAGTATCAGTATAATGTTACAACAATCTATCCAGCTTTCTACATTTACTTTTTTAATGAAAGCTGTGAGCAGTGTTCCCTCTAAGCTGAGTTACTGTGAGCTAGCCTCCAGCTCACACATTTTTGTCTTAGCTCAAGAAGGATGGCTCCAGAGCAAACTAATTTATGCAGTAGCCAAATCACTTGCTCACAACTTTAATGTCAGTAGCTCACAAAGTAGAATTTTTGCTCACAAGACTCCACAGCTTAGAGGGAGCATTGGCTGTGAGTCTCTTAGCCCTTGCATTGTGTAATAAATAATTGCCATTTTTTAAAAAAAACCCTAAGGTGGCAGTGGAAAATGGTTGTGCTAAAATTTAATTCTCAAGCATGTGTGTGTGAAGTACTGCCAAGTCAGAGCTGACTTATGGTGACTCCAGGAGGTTTTCAAGGCAAGAGACATACAGAAGTCATTTTTCATTGCTTGCCTCTCCATAGCAACCCTGGACTTCCTTGACAGTCACTAAGCAGAACTGACCCAGCTTAGCTTCCAAGAGTTAGTTCGCCTAGGCCATCCAGATCAGGGCTCTCAGGCATATGGAGTGTCTGATATTGGATTGAGACCAAAGTGTATGAGGAGAGTGTGCTAAAACCTTCCCCTTGTACCCTTTTCCCAACCTGAAATGGCCACAGGATAGCCACTATTTGTCCCACTGGGGAAACTTAGTTTCCAAACAGATCAGACAGCAGCTCTGCAGGCTGTTTTGGGTCAAGAAAATGGCAGGGGAGGGACTCTCTTCCCATATACCACAGTCCTAATATGAATCAAATCTACATACATCTCAGAATTAAATTTCAACATGGAACTCCTAGTGCAAAACCAGTGTGAGAGGACTGGGACAGACTTGGCAAGTGTAACATATAATTAGGGCTTCAAAGACACAATGAAGACTTTCATATCCATATGTAGATCGCATCTTGAATTTACTGAGGTGCACGTGGATTGAAATCAGCCAGCTAATTGTTAAAAGTATATTTTTTCCTCTAGGTGCAAGATCACATTTACCAAACAATATTCTGAACAACTTTCCCCCCAAAGGAGTCTTCTACACAAAAGATATGAAAAAAACAAAGAGATTTATGCTAAAAGTGTTTCAAGTACACCAGACCTGTGCAAACTACATACTAGCCTTAATATTTGCAACACCAGAGAAGAAGGTTGGTTTAAACCTTTAGAAAATAATGGGCAGAACTGCAGGCACCACAAAGCTACTAGCAATCCCACTTGTCCCACATGCTCTTTTAGACTGAAAGGGAGACGCATCATCTCATGTGCCTTGGGTGATGTGATTAACATGCAGCCCAAACCTCTAAACTGGAACATCCCAAAACTCTTTCAGCAGAATTTTTTGGAATATTCCTATGTAGAAAACACATTTGACTCCTTTGCTGTATTAACATATCTTCTATGTGGCAGCAAATGGCTCCAAATACAGCTTCTGGACCTTACAGTTTATTAGGAGGAAGCATACAGTATGAATTGCAAAGAACAGTAAAGAGTTAAAGGGTTCTGGCTTTTGTCCATTTTCAGAACAGTAGCTAGGAAGTCAGAAATGTGGGACAAAAGACTTAGGGTGATGAGAAGAGTTTGTGGGACTGTACTTGGAACTTTTGTCAAGACTCAGATAGGCAGAAAATAATATTGACAGGGCTTAGGATGGTTTGGTTCGTCATAGGAGATGTACAAGAAATAGGGAGTTCTTCAGGAACATGTTATTTTTGTTGCTGTTCGCATCCATGGACAAAACTGGATGTGGGAGGGAGTTGGTCAATCTGACATAGAGAAACTGCTAGAAAAAGTTGGTTCTATGACTACTTTTTCCTCATGCCTTGCAGCAATGCCAGAGAACATGCAGCATAAATGCAAGAAGTTGTGTTATTTTTAAGGTTCAGTGCTTAAGTCCATATATTTACTTGTTTAGAAAGATAGAGGTACCAGAGGCAAGGAAGAGCTCTGCTTATGTGATGAGGGAAAGAAAAGATGGGGGGAGATCTCTTAAGAGCTGATAGGTGCATAAGCCACAAGATTCTGACTGCCACGGCCACCCCACTCCTCGCTGGCGGCGTGGCACCTACTCCTCACATCCAGCCCAGCTCTGAGTCACACAACCCCTTCCAGTCCCACCAGCCACTCTTCATAAACCTCATCAACTTAACCACACACAAAGACCTCAACCCTCAGGTGGAACGTGGACGCTGAGCCTTTGTGAACGTCACCCTAAAGTTATTATCTCTCCACCCGGCGGGAGGCAAAGACACCTATAGCTTATTCCCAGCTTGGAGACAACGGCAGCTGCTCCGGGCTCATCGCCCGTTCCAGACGAGCGGCCCTACCAGCTGTTGCCGCCTCCACCGCCTTCTCTCTCAGGCCTCCACCCGCTCTTGGCTCAGGTCCGCTTCCTCTCTGTGGCACTCACTGTGAGGGGAGGGAGTCTTTCCCCGCGGTTACCGGCCCTCGCGCACGCGGGTCGCACTTATTCCGAAGCTCGCGCCACTTAGTCGGGACCAGCACACCCTAGCGCGGCGGCGCGGCGCAACCGAGTGACGTCATAGAAACTCGCCCTCCTCTTCCTCCTATCGTGGTCTCCTCTCCGCGACACCTCAGAACGCTTCTAGTCGCCTTAGCAACCGGGGGGGGGGGAGGGACAAGAGAAAGGCGGCCTGCCCTTATTCTCCGGGCACGCGGAAGGAAACAGGAGACGGGGAAATATTTGTCCTTTATTTTGTTTCTCAGGAACTAACAAGGTGATAACCTAGTTTGGCAGTTTCGAGATACTTTATTTCCCCCACACTAACTCAAAAATATATTATCGAAGGAAAGCTGCTGTCTTGTGATGAGGGGATGCAGTGGAGATTATTTGCCTTTCTTTTTCTCACTCACAAAAGCCTGTACTCGCGTAAATTCTATTAGTCTCCAAAGTACCTTTAAATTCCCCGTTTCATTTTGTTGCTTTAGACTAACACGGCTGCCTATTTGAAAGGGGAAAAGCAATCTGCCAGCACCGCGCACAGTCTACTTTGCACGGAGCCAAACCGTTATTTTACTAATAGCCAAGCTTAGCTATGTATCAGCGTCACTTTTTAGGTCTACTTTGCGATGGAAAGAAACTGGAAAGGCTAGCACATGCAAGGCATAGCAAAAAGCAGGTCGCGCACATATTTGTATTTGTACGTACAGCACCACCTAACATTATCTCTAACTTTACTAACATAGACGATCAGGAGTTCTGGAGAACTCGGTGCCGCTTGGCGGTTTTAGTTGGTCTTAATAAAAGATACTATGTAATTGTTACAATGTACAATTCACAAGAGACGTCAAAACACACCGCGACGCCACTTTGTATCTCTGGAGTAACATGGCCGAAAGCGGCTTTCTTTCTTTCTTTTTTTTTTACTGGAGGTTTCGTTTGCGTTTCACTTCACACCTTTTTCATCTCTATGGAACTTAGCTCCAGTTCCTGCGTGAGAGTGCGCATGCGACAACTACATTCCGCAAGCGCTGCCTGTATGACTATTTCCTTCTGCGCAAGAGTTAGAATTACGAATGACAGTCGTTTTTGATTGAAATGCTTTATGGGAGTTGCAGTCATAAAACGTTTTCACTGCGTTTGGCGAATAGACAGGGAAACTACTTGTCCCGGCATCCCTTGCAAGCGAGGGAGTTCACGACCACTGCTGCTGCTTCGTCGCGGATCCCTAGCTGTGCGGCAAGCGTGTTTCTGGAGCACCCATAACTAGCATGCCGAAGGTGAAGACGAAACCGCGGTCGCGGCAGCAGCGCCATGAAACAAAAGGAGCGGGATCAGGACCAGGTGGGTCTTTACTTGGTAGTGAGAAGGAGATTCCTGGGTGAGGACAGGCTTAAAAGGCAGGGCAGTCCGTGGCTCTTCCCCGGAGCCGGCAAAAGTTATGTCCAGCCGTGCTGGTCCAAGATCAGAAGACGAAGCACAAGCTATTTATCAGGATTAAGAAAAATGACACAAAACTCTGTGCAAGATTTCTGAGCCCTTCCTGACTCCTATAGCCAGCCGTTCTGCCCTATCTCGGCCTCGACAGGTAGGGATTTTAGCAGCTGCCGCAAAGTTCTCAACTGTAGATAAATCAAGACAGAATCCTGTTGCACTTTAAAGAGGAACAGATTTATTATGGCAGATGTTTTCGTGTACTAGAGTCATCAGATGCATGAAGACCTTGCTTGGCTATACTTGGTCAGACTGAAGTGCTGCTTATCCGATGGTTGAAAAGTTTCCATCACAATGAATCTATTAGTCTGTAAAATGACACAAGCTGAAATAGGAAGGTCTGGTTTTGTTTGAGGGGCAGGACTACCTCATCTGGGCCTTCATATCTCAAGCAGTCCCTGGGTTGGTCAGTCTGTTTGTCATTGCAATAGACCATCACAGCTAATCCTTTGGTAGTTATAGTTGAGAGCAGGCTTTTTCTAATCTCCTTCTGCCAACTTTCTCTGCTTCTCTGTCTGTACTGTCATAACAGTCCATAACCTCACAGGAGTTGGTGTTACACCACGAGAAGCATCAATAAGAAAAGTATGCTTGCTGAAGTCTTGACAGTTGAATCTAGTGACGTATTAGGAGAAGGGGATGGAAGGAGAAGATGGGGAACTTGGCTGCTGAGCATTTGATTCCACACAGCAGTTGTTGCTGAGACAAAGCATTCAGCCTCTGCCCAGAAATCACCAAGTCAAACTGCCAACCTACTTTTTAACAGTAGCACTCTAGTTAGAAAGAAAAGATATGACAGTGACAGCTATGCCATCATAAGAACATAAGAGATGCCAATGTTGGATCAGGCCAAAGGCCCATCCAGTCCAACACTCTGTATCACACAGTGGCCAGAAATACCAGGTGCCATCAGGAGGTCCACCAGTGGGGCCAGGACATTAGAAGCCCTCCCACTGTTGACCCCCCCCCAAGCACCAAGATGACAGAGCATCACTTGCCCCAGAGTCCCTATCTATACCTTGTGGCTAATAGCCACTGATGGACCTCTGCTCCATATGCTTATCTAATTCCCTTTTGAAGCCGTCCATGCTTGTAGCCGCCACCACTTCCTGTGGCAGTGAATTCCAAGTGTTAATCACTCTTTGGGTGAAGAAGTACTTCCTTTTATCCGTTCTAACCCGACCGCTCAGCTATTTCATGGAGTGCCCATGAGTTCTTCTATTGTGAGAAAGCCATCGGTCCAGCTATCCCAGTCTACTTTGACTGGCAGTGCATCTCTGGAGCAGTGACCTTTCTCAACCCTGCAGCCAGAAATCTTTCACTGGAAGAGATGCTAGTTGGACCTTTCTGTGCATTGCAAAGTTCATGCTTTGTTACTGAGATACAGTCTTTCTTCATATATGATTTTTTTCAATCACTCAATCTCCTTCATTCTTTGCTGTCTGAAAGGGCTTTAGTTATGTCCTGTAGCAGATGGGAGAGGAGGGTGAGTACTGTGATCCATGAAAGAATGGGGTCGGAGACAGGGTAGGCAGCCTCTCATGCTGTGCCAGTATTTAAAAAAAAAAAGATGTGCTTTGGATTGCAGCCTGACAGCCCTGCCTGTCTCAAAATGTGCTCCTTCAGACTGTGCAAAACAGGGGAAGGGGTGGGGGGGGGAGAAAGAGGTGCATGGTACTGTAAGCAGTGATTGGTTTATTATACTGTAAACCTTTGTAGGTTATTATTCATTTGTTTATTTTTGGGATTTTTATCCTGCCCTACCCCACAAGCAGGCTCAGGGTGGCTCACAACATGCCACTCAGCAATAAAACCGTGATTAGGGTAATTAAAACAGTTCATTAAACATTATCAATAATGGTGGAACAGCTCCATTTTACAAACCCTGCGGAATTGCAGTAAATCCCACAGGGCCCTGATCTCTGTCGGGAGCATATTCCGCCAGGGCTGAGAAGGCCATGGTTGAGGCAGATGTCTTTCGGGCTGGGTACTGTTAACTGGTGCTGGTCTGAAGAGCACAAGGGTCTTCGGGGCACGTACAAGAAGAGATGGTCCCACACGTATGCTGGTCCCTGGTCGCATAGGGCCTTAAAGGTTAATAGCATAACCTTAAGCCTGACTCAGTATTCAACTGGCAACCAATGCAGCTGACGCAGCACTGGCTTATGATCTTATTTTAAGTGGAACAGGCTCTTGCTTAGAAATCATGCTTCAATAAATCTGTCTTCTGCCCAGTGCTTTTCTCAATTCTGAAGGGAAAGAACACTGTTTGAGAAGGTTTTTTTTTAATTTCCCAGTTCAAAGAAATCTTATGACTAGGAAGGAAAGATAATGCTAGTTGTTTTAGATTAGAGCCTATGGTCTTATTTTAAGCGGCTCTTACTTTTTTGGGGGGGGGGGGTGACCAGAGGCATGTTTATGATAGGTGGCATTGTACAGTGGTACAGATTTATTGGGGGAAATGTGTATCACTTGGATTCCCAGTCTTTTATAGTTCCAGCCAGGGCTCTTTTTGTAGCAGGAACTCCTTTCCATATTAGGCAACACACCCGTAATGTAGCCAATCCTCCAAGTGCTTGCAGAGCTTTTCTTACAGGGGTTACTGTAGGTTCTTGGAGGATTGGCTACATTAGTGGTGTGTCGCCTTATATGCAAAGGAGTTCCTGCTACAAAAAGAGCCCTGGATAATGCTTTTTTTAAAGGCATCTTCTGGGGTCTGTGTTACAGGAGCACAACTATTTGCTAAACGCCTTTTAGATTTCAGCTAGGATCATAGTGACCAGATGTTGGAATCAAGAATGCTTACCTTGAATTGATGGCAAGCCAGAGTCATATAGTAGTTAGTGTCGGACAAGGACCTGAAAGTCCTAGATTCAAATCCTAACACTGTTATAAAGTTTGCTGGGTGACTCTGAGCTAGTCACACGCAGCCTTGCCTGCCTCAGAGAGTTGTTGTAGGAACAAAATGGGGAAAGGAAATCCATGAGCTTTATGGAGGAAAAGGGATGGCATGATAAATATATTAGATGGATATGTAGAGTTTGGAATACAATTTTAATGAGTAAATTAATTTTGTATAAACATCTATGGGAAGGGAAAATACCTTCTGATTAAAAAATTTAAGAAGACAGTGATATCCTTTTCATCCTATTCCAGTATTAAATAATGAAAATGTCAGGCACGAAATGCTGTTTCTTATCTGATCAAAGGAGTTGCACGTTAAATTGAAGAAATTATGACTAGTCTCTGGCCTTATATATGTAATATGTAAAAAACACACATAAAAATGCATATTTTCAGTTTAGGTATATTTTAATTTTAAATAAAGAATCAAATATATCCATCTTGAAGATGCTACAACTTTCTTCAGAAATGAATAGCCTTATTTTACCATCCTGTGGAAAATAGAAATAGTCTGTTGATTCTGAGGGGATTTTATATGGTTACGATACCAGATCCTCACATAGACATCTTAGACAAGGCTTTCATCCCATGCTCAAAGAGCTTCTTGAAAAGCCACCCAGTGGCTTAATCAGACAGTGTGATAGCCCAATCCTATACATGGCTATTTGGGAGGAAGTCTCACTGACTTTACTGGGACTTTTTCTCAAGAAAGCATTTAGTAAATCTTAGCAATGCAGTTTTCTTATATTATGGTTTTGTGTTTCCTGTAGGCATCAGGTTCAACACTGGACTCGGTCAGCATATTTTGAAAAATCCTCTCATTGTGACCAGCATTGTAGAAAAGGTAGGTGATAATAGTAACTTCAAAAAAACTAAGCAGATTTTGTTTTGTTTTTAAGGGTGTAAAATGGTCTATATACAAAACTGTTAGGGTTGCCAAGTCACGGCGGGGGATCGTGTGTCTTTGCAGAATCTTTGCCGTGGGGACAGTGAGATGCGTTGCATCCGCCGTCGTCAGGATTAATGCTATGTGTTGCTCTGGCAACGGGGGCTCCAAACAGCCCCATTGCTAGAGCGACACGTAGCGTCCTGGTCCTTTGCATGGATTCTGCAAAGACATGCGGATCCTCCGCCATGATTTGGCGAGATTTGGGAGTCCTAACCAAAACTCGAGAACAAAATTTGAATCTAGTGGCACCTTTAAGACCAACAAAATTTTATTCAAGGCATATGCTCTCATGTGCACGCCTACTTTTTGAAGTGCAAGTGAAAGCTTATTCCTTGAATAAAACTTTGTTGGTCTTAAAGGTGCCACTGAACTTGAATTTTGTTCTGTGGCTTTAGATGAACACAGCTACCCACCTGAATCAATGCAAAATTCTAATTAGCATTTGACTATTTGAAGTAACACAAAATTTTGAGAGGCAAAAATAAATAGTGTAACTGTGGCGCACTGCGTATTTGGAGGGACTGTTTCCACTTTAAAATTATTCTTTGCGTAATAAACTGGGTAGTTTCTGCTGCCACCAGGAATTTTAAGAAATTCCAAATCTTCTCTCTGTTTCTGCTGTTGGTAATGTGACCCAGGGTCTGGGCTTTCAAAGGTCTATGTGGCCCTGAGGAAGGATTGAACTGAATTCTGGGTTAAATTTAAACAAAATATAATTTTTTGATTAAGGAACAAAAAATAAGTTGCTGGTTAACTGTAACTGTATTGGGGGAAAGGAACTGGTAAATAAACTGGCAAGGTATCACATACAGTCTTTTGACATTATAAGAACATAAGAACAAAGGCCCATCCAGTCCAACACTCTGTGTCACACAGTGGCCAGAAATACCAGTGCCATCAGGAGGTCCAGCAGTGGGGCCAGGACATTAGAAGCCCTCCCACTGTTGAACCCCCCCCCAAGCACCAAGAAGACAGAGCATCACTTGACCCAGAGCCCCTAGCTATACCTTGTGGCTAATATCCACTGATGGACCTCTGCTCCATATGCTTATCTAATTCCCTTTTGAAGCCATCCATGCTTGTAGCACCCACCACTTCCTGTGGCAGTGAATTCCATGTGTTAATCACTCTTTGGGTGAAGAAGTACTTCCTTTTATCCGTTCTAACCCGACCGCTCTGCAGTTTCATGGAGTGCCCACGAGTTCTTGTATTGTGAGAAAGGGAGAAAAGTACCTCTTTCTTTACCTGCTCTTTCCCATGCATAATCTTATAAACCTCGATCATGTCACCCCTCAGTCGTCTTTTCTCCAAGCTAAAGAGCCCTAAGCGCTTTAACCTTTCCTCATAGGGAAAGTGTTCCAACCCTTTTATCATTCGAGTTGCCCTTTTCTGCATTTTTTCCAAAGCTATAATATCCTTTTTAAGGTGTGGTGCCCAGAACTGCACACAGTATTCCAAATGAGGTCTCACCATTGATTTGTATAGGGGCATTAAGATCCCACTCTGACAGAAATCTCTTACATAGGCAGCCACACTGGCTAAGCTCTTTGTACTATTGACTCTTTTTCATAACTTTAGAGTCTCACAGACCCTTCTCATAGCTCCTTCACACTTAAACTCTTAAAGCCGTATATACTGAACTCGGAACTCTTTAAGTTTCCATACAGACTCTGTCAGCTCACTCACTGATTGACTCACTCTAAATCTGACCTCTCCATAACTCAGATTCACTCGAACTGACTTCAAGACACACACAGATTCACTCCAAAAACTCCTCCCACACTCTCCGTCCTCCACCAGTCACAACACACTTGTCTCTCTCAATCTCTCTACTCTACTAACACTGCACTCCATTCAAACATTTAAAGGAACACATACACAGTAAAGCAAGGAATCATTACAGTAACTAATAGCGTAACTAATAAATAGCATAACTAATGAATAAATGGAAAATATTGTCCTTGCCTATAGCATGAACACAAAACTGTTTAGTAATAAGTTTATGTTTTAAAACATTCATTTAAAAAACATATATGTTGTCGAAGCATTTAAAAAACGCTTGTCCCTTTGTTATTTGGGAGCTACTGTGCCACAAACAGAAAGTGAAGCGCCAGCTATTGATTCCAATTTTCTGCCTATGTGGGTATATTTCCTTAATGAATCCTGATCAGAATTCCATCTTGTCATAGCCCCTAATGCTGTATGGTAAATACATACATTACATAGGATTTTCTAGCATGAATGTGTATGTAATTCCAATCTGTTAATTTTTAGGCTGCATTGCGTCCAACAGATGTTGTTCTAGAAGTTGGTCCTGGCACGGGCAACATGACAGTGAAAATGTTAGAAAAAGTAAAAAAGGTAAATACTTGCTTCTCTCTTCCTCTCCCTGGGGGGTAGAGGAACTTGGTTGATCACCCTTGCACTTCAAGGAATTAGGAAGAGATTAAAATTACCAAAACATCAGATGACCAAATGGGAAGGCAGAAGTGCTGTGTGAAACCATCCCTTTCCTCCCCCCCCCCCCCCCCCCCCAGTAGTGCTCTTAACTTGTTTCTGCATGAAAACCTCTTGAGGTTTTTAAGGTCACTTACAACACATTTTCCATGTTTCTTTTATGTCTACATCAATTCCAGGAACATGACATACTGTTCAAAATACTTCTAAAGCATTTGAATTGTAGCTCCATATAAGAGTTCTGTGGGTATATCCAAGAAGATTTCTAGAAAAGCAGGAATTGTCCAGTTTTTAATGGTGTATGGAAAATTGCTTCTTAAGATTTCTCATTTAAAAATGCTATAGAATATATGGATGGCTCACTTAGACCTTTCTGTTGGCCGGAATAACTGGATCAGTCCTTCTCTCCTGTCCCCCCCCCCACCCCACTTCCCCAATACTGTGACTTCCCACCCATTATTTGAGAGGCAGTGATTCAAATGCCCCTCATCATCTTTGATCTCAAGATGTTTTTGCTCAGCTCACCACATACTTCCATGTCTTGCCCTCTGACCTATAGATCCTTGCTTCTTCCCTCTTTCTCTCTTCTTCCCTTTGTTCCCTAACAAAATCCTCTTTTGGGCATAACACGCTGAATCTGACAACAGGAGAGTGCTCTCATCAGCACTTATGTTTGATGCATTTTTATTGCAAAAGAGATGAAGAAGGATTTGATGGATTCTAAACCCAAGACCCACCTAAGAAAATCTAGGCACAGTAAGAGCCTTCTGCCATATATCGCTTTCTGAATCAAGAGCAGCAGACTTGGCTTGAATGCGCATGTAAATCTGCATCCTGTTGAAGGCAGGTATAGAATAATTCTGAAGTGCCTCAAACACTAGGTTAGGTGTCGTATGGTGACTTTATTACAAAGAATGAACACTGCTCATGGGCTTGTATATGAGCATGCATTCTGCTCAGAGCAATGCAGTGTGGCCAGTCCTTCTATGCCTATGGAGAGAGGATAGTTGGGCTCAGTTGAATGCACACTTGAGGACTTGTGTTCTCAAAGCAATCTCCTTTTTTCTCTCCTCCCCCCTCCTTTTTCTCTCCCCCCACCCAGTCCATTAAATTGCAGTGGGTTCCTACCTCACAATTTAAAGAGTTGTTGAGATGTGTAAAATACTTCAACGCCATTTCCCATACACCCACACTACCGCCCCAGTGATCCTTTACTAAGCAATGGAGTTTTTTTCTTTGGATTTTAAAGAACCCTTTTGGGGACAGAATTGGACTGCAGGAGTGTGCACTTTAGAGTATATGCTTCTGAGCCTAAGCCTCCCTCCCACCAGTTTAGGACAGACTAACCTTACCCGTCTGACTTCTTACTGTAACCAATTAGCCTTTGTACAAAGCAACTTAAGGGCTGTGTGTGTGTGTGTTTTAATTCTTCTGTAGTTTTAAGCTATCTTCTTTTAAAAAGAAGAGCATGGGATATAAATACATCTGTGTTGACTTTTAAGCCAGTCCACTAGTTCATTGTATATGAACCATATACAAATTGATTGTACATTATTGTTTTTCAGGTCATTGCTTGTGAGCTGGATGTAAAGCTGGTTGGTGAACTCCAGAAGAGAGTCCAGGGCACGTAAGTACTCATAAAAGTACTAATGTTTGTATAGGCCATAAACTCTGTTGGAATTGAGTTAGTGAGATAATGGTATTTCTGTTCCAGACCTTTGGCTAGCAAGCTCGAAATAAAGATTGGAGATGTATTGAAATCTGACCTGCCCTTTTTTGATGCTTGTGTGGCTAACTTGCCTTATCAAGTAAGTGCAAAACAGTCCTATTGGAATGAATAGTCAATGCACCTTCTGGCTTGTTCTATTATATGTTTTGGATAACCATCACACTTGTTCTTCTTCCCACCCACCCCCAGATTTCGTCACCTTTTATTTTCAAGCTGTTGCTACACCGGCCTTTCTTCAGGTAGGAAGAAGACAATGTACAGTATATTTTAGTTTTACAAGTAATTGTTAAATGGGGATATTAGCAGCCGGCTGATTTAGAAAGCAGGTAGAATTTCATATTGAGAATTTGCAGTTATGAGATAAGAGTGGGGGTGGTAGGCAGAACTGCATGATTAGGGCTCTCCTAAAAATAGCTGCTTATTCATGAAATGTAAAGAACTAAGCTTTGTAATCTGAGTAGCTGAAGCTCTGAGATCAAAGGGTGTTCACCAAACCTTTACTTTTTGCTGCTGTTCCCCATCAGTTGATTTTTAAATTAAATTTAATCTACATATCTTTATTAAGGTGCATTTAGGTGCTTCCCCTTAATCTCTTTAACAGTTCTGTGTGGAGAAAAAAATGACCAAAGAAACATTGCGGTCCTAAGACGTCTTTCCTGGGAGCAAGCCTCACTGAGTAAACTTTGGTAGAATTCTGAGCAGACCTATTTAGGATTGCATTGTTAGTGATGCAAACATCTTGTAGACATCTAACACATGTAAATCTCTAATAATATCCTCAAGCCAATAAGCAAAATATTTGCCATCTGGAAAGCACAGTAAATTGAATATGTCTTTGCATGGGCTTGAATGTAGTGAGTGCATAAATTTCAGAGGTGAAGTTCAAAGACTGTTTAGAAAAATACTCTGTGGGGACTCTTTGAAGCTCCTATTGCATTTAATGTTGGCTACTGCCTCTTTATATCCATCCACATCCTATTAAGCGGGGTGACTTTCAATGCTGATACCATCATGTGGATTTGTATTATGCCGCTCCCATTCTTTGCATCTGCAGGATATTCATTGGGCTAAAGAACTAAAGCTGTAAACTGTTTAGCCAGGCAGAAGCATATCGGTGAAGCCATAAGCAGAGTAACACCTTTCTAAGTTCATTGACTTCAGTGGACTTAGGAAGGTGTAAGTGCTTGGGATGGCATTGTAAGGCATTAAATAAGTCTCCCATGATTTTGTTTAAAACAGATACACAAAAGACATTGTCACGCTTTGTGGAAATGAATTTCCTAAGTTGACTGTACAGTATGAGAAGACATACTGTTCTCTGTCCTGAATCTACCCCCAGGCAACTTCAGTGGGTTAAATTTAAGAGTAAAGTTACTCTTCTTGTTGTCATAAGCCCCCCCCCCTAGATATAAGAAAAATTCAGCCTTCCAGGCTCACAAAATGGTGTGCCAGCTTATTTGTTGTCATCTTTGATCTCTTTCCTGTCATGGGTTCAGACCCAGGCATTAGAAAACAGATTGTTTTACTGCTGCTTTTACTGTAGATGTTGTTTGTTTTTACTTGTGTTTTACATTTGTTTATTTTGAGTGGGTTTTTTGGTATTACTAATAACAGTGGCATGTGTGGTACCACTCCACTCAGAAAAGTCAGAAACCTTTCTTGAGCTAAAGTGAGTCTCCCACAGAACAGACTTTTGACTTGGAGTAAAGCTCCCAGCTTTGCTAAGCAGAATGGGACACTACACGCCGGTATCTATAAATGACCTCTCAACATAAGTCCGCGAGGTGGCATACACCATAAAAATAATCATCTATCACCCTTTGGCTTTTCCAGGTAAGTCCCTAATCTAAATATGTATGACTTAGTGTCTGAATCCCATTTTTTTTAACTTCCAGGTGTGCAGTACTTATGTTTCAGAAAGAGTTTGCTCTTCGTCTGGTTGCCAGGCCAGGCTCTCCCCAGTACTGCAGGCTTTCTGTTAATACTCAGTTATTAGCCCGTGTTGATCATCTGATGAAAGTAAGTGGAAAAGTAGATGACTAAAGTGGGCATGTGGAAATCCAGATCAGAGACTTGGGAGGAGTTCTTGGAGGGATGTAAATAAGTTCTTTGTCTTATCTGTATGATAACAACAGGTTGGAAGAAATAATTTTAAGCCGCCGCCCAAAGTTGAATCCAGTGTTGTAAGGATAGAACCAAAGAACCCACCGCCACCCATCAATTTCCAGGTGCGAGTCATTCATATTGATAGAAAATCCATGGAAAATACTGACATCGCTAGTGTGCAAAGCCCACCGCTCCCCAAGTGTGAGCCTTTGTTGCATGTATCCTTCACAAGACATCTATAAAATATAGACTATATAAAATATAGTCTAGTAGCAATGGGAGCTGTTTCTAACTGTGGTGAGCTTTTTTTTTTTTTTTTTTTTTAAGCTGACCAACCAATACTTTACACCATGATAACATCAAGGTTCAGGAAGTGATTATTTAGCTTTTAATGAGAAGGATTAGAAACTATGCCTTCCTAAGGCAATAAATTCATTTAGGTAATAGTTCAGTGCTTAGCCTTTAGCTTTTTGTTGTTTTTAATCAGGTTATAGAATAATGGCTTGGAATTTGCCTAAAATTTCCATGGGCACAGGGGTGGGGAAATGGACATTTTCTGAAATCCCCTCTTCCTGTGGGAGACAATTTAGTCCCACCCCAAGATATTCCTGGTGTCCCCCATTGCCCAGGAACAACATTTCAGAAGGGTGTTTTGGGATGCAGGGTGTGGGGGGAACTGGTGAGCCACCATCATTTCATTGTTCCCGAGGAAATTCTGTGCAGAGTCCAGTCCAATATGTTTTTGCTTTAATAATCAGGCCTGAGGTTTGAAATTGAGCTCTTAACATATTGCATTTGGGTTGAGGAGGGTCAAAGTGTGCCTTTCATGGGTTCTGTAAAAGTCCAGCTGAATGGAGGAAATAGATAAACCCCTAAATCTAGGGCATACATGTGAGCAAAAATATGCTTTGATGGCTTGCAATGATGGCGTCTGAGGCTGTGTTCTTGATTATTGGGGTGGAAACTGTAAAGACTGAGCAGGACTTCCTATAGAGTGGCATCTCCTATAAGCGGGAAAGTGTTTTAGATGTGGTGGCACATCAACATCCTGGAGAAGCAGAAAACAAATACATGGATAAGTTTCAGGTTGATGAAGGGACAGTTTAGAAGAGCCTGAAGGAGGAAGGAGGAGCAGGTGAAACTGAATGAGAGGCAAGAGCCCCAAAGTAAAAGGATACCTGTGGGGATATTTGCTGGGAAGTAAGGGGCTGAGTAGGGGAAATGCTATTCTAAATTATCAGGAATGCTGTTTAAATCTTTTAAAATATATTTTCAGGAGTGGGACGGTCTACTCAGAATAGTCTTTGTCAGGAAAAACAAAACACTCTCAGCAGTTTTTAAGTAAGTTACTCAGAGTTTGATTTCCTTACTTTACCTTTTTCTTTTAGCTGGATTGTTTGTTACGCTGACTACCGCAGATGGGCTAGGGTGGGTTTAATTGCCTAGACATTTAAGGACCTGTGTGCACGTGCATACACGCACCATGGACCAGGTACTATGTGAAGCTGCTAATAGTTCTTGTGATGAATTAGGATAAGGTGATGGAAGGAGAAGATGGTGAGCCTGACTGATGAGCACACCAGTCATTGCTAAGACAAACGATTGAGCCTCTGCCCTAAGATCACCAAGTCCAACCAAGAAGCTGTTGGGGTTTCTTATAGAACTGTATACTAGAGAGCAGCCGCAGGTTCTTAGTTCCTGGCTGTTTCTGCATGACTGCTGCTCTCTTGCTTTTCCATTTCTCCAGTTCCTTTTGGAGTGGAGGCAACGAGAAAGGGTACTGTGCTTTTCCTGAAAGCAAATCAAGAGGCTTGTTACACTGTCTCCATCTTCTCCTTTATCTTTTAGACACTGATACTTAGTAGTTCCCTGTGAATTTCTGGCAAAAGTCCATGAAAACTGATAGTACATCTGTGAGCAGGCAAGCTGCTAATTTGGTATATAGGGTAGCAAATGACATCCTAGTACTTCTGTTGCCTCCACTGAGAATACAAAGTAGATCTAGAAAGTCCCAGGAATAGACCAGACCTGTGACTAAGAGCCAGTGCTCCTTTTCTCCTGTAGCAGTTTTCCTTGTGTTCCTCCAATACGCTATAGTTTTGGCATTACTGTTACTGGTGAAAAGTGCTAGTTGAGCCACAGCTCATATGGTTTTCAAGGCAAGAGATAGCTTACCATTGCCTGCCTTGTGTAGCAACCCTGGACTTTCCTTAGTGATTTCCATCCAAGTAGTAATCAGGGCTGATCCTGCTTATTTATTTATTTTTTATGTATTTATTTAAGCATTTTTACCCCGCCCTCCCCGCACGCGGGCTCAGCTTCTGGGATCTGGTGACACCGAGCTAGCCTGGTCCATCCAGGTCAGAGCTATTACTGTTACTAATGATAGACAAATGATCAGGCAATGAGTTGATTCTGAACAAGGATGGTGGTCGTCTTTCCAGTAGCTTTCTAGTTCTTCTGCCTTTGCCATAGACTTCAGGCGGAACTAATTCAGACCACCAGGAGAATTCTACTTTTACACTTGCGTGGGGGGGAGCCTATATAGTTACCTTTCCTTTTTTTTTTTTGTTAACCTTACTTCAGCTCAAATGCTGTGAAGCGACTGCTGGAACAGAATTACAGAATTCACTGCTCACAAAATAACTTGGTAAATATTTCAAAGTTCCTCTTGGGAAGGGGGTAATGGTGAAACAAACGTTTATGAAAGTGTCAGTGTTTTAGTCTTGCTAACAGTATATGCTGCATTTCTTTTTGCTTTACACGGACAGAAAATTCCTGAAAATTTCAATATTGGGAATCTAATACAAGGAATCTTACGTGACACTGGTTATTCAGAAAAACGTGCCCGCATAATGGATATCGATGACTTCATCAGGTAAAACCAAGCATTTTTTTGTGCTTAAGTACTTTGTATGTTTGTTAAAGAGAAGTTCAATCTTTAAAATCATGATAGCAAAAATAAGTGAGAACATCTGTGTATGTTACAACAGTATTCATTGTCAATTGGTGGCTTTGACCATATTTTTTGGGGGGGAAACTCTACCTAGGGTGTGTGTGATGTTAGAGATAACAGATGTGGTTAGTTCACATAGAGTACCAGTGTTTTAACTGTTGAACCATGAATATGCTCATATGCAAAAATATGTATCTGAGAATGTTGTGTTCATGAAATAGATCCACTGGTTTTCTTCCACAAGTGGAATGTGTGAATGAGGCCTTGTCACACAGGCATTTTTATGTCCTTGGGTCCTGGAATTACATGCAATGCAAGTTTAGGAAGGGACCTTCAAATGCATCAGTTCCTGTAGCTCAGCACTGTCTAGTCAAACTGGCATCTACTCCTAGGTGTCAGACAAAAGACTTTCCCAGCCCTACGATGTGGGAGAATTAATAATCCCAAGGTTCATTTCCACATATTGCTGTATGAACCAATGCATGATGATGTATGGAGTCCAGGTGAAAAGCCATCAGTATAGCTACACAAGGCTCATTACTTGTTAGATAGAGCTTTTAAGGGAGCTTCAGCCCATCAATTTTTGGAATCCGTCATAATAAATAGGGGCTGCATGCACATGTCGTGGAATATTGCTGTAGTGCCTTTATTGTCCTGTAGGAATCATTGCAACTGGATTGGTTTGTATGCATGGGAAAGTCCAGTTGTGAATGACTGCTGTAGTGCAACAACAGCACAACATCCAGTGACAAGTGGATACAGCCACTGTTTATTTGGAGAAGGGCTTCTAAAAGATGTTGCACAACTCACTTTTCACAGAAGGCAATGTAGTGTTACTGATGCTTCTCAATTTCAGTTGTGAACGGTGCTCCTGAGGGAGAGAAGGGCTGCAGTTTTTTCCTATGCCTCTCCCAAACAGCATCTATAAGGGATGAGGTGGTGCAGTGGTTAAGTGTTGCCACACGGTCGTGATGATGCTATCTAGGAGCTGTACTTGGGCAGCTCTTTAAAGTGTTGCCAAGATGCAGCAACATGATTGGCAGCAGACCTTGCCCATGGTTTACAGCATTGCAGCAACATTGTTTAATTATGATACCATGATGTGGTGTGTTACAGTTGGGGATGTTCTGAAGGCTCAGCTCAATGACTGATGGCAATACATTACTCTTAGCAGGGAGTCATGTCCTTCTCTGCCCTTATGTGCTGGTCTTTATGCTGCTGGCTGTATATAGGATGCTGCCTGGCTTGTGCCAGGATTGCAGCCAATTAGGTGGGCCCACTGATTTAGGTTGCACAGTATTCAGTGCAGGAAAACAGTCCCTTCCAGGCTCTAAGCATACAAGACAAACTCTGAGTGGTTCCTGCCTTCTTTTCATGTTTAAAAGAACCAGTTTCCTAAGTAGTTTAAATCCTCTCAGTACTTACGTTTGTACAACAGTACAATTTAGCTAGGCTGACAGCTGTAACCAGTGACCCAGTACTGGAAGGAAGAGCATGTGAGGCTATACAATGGGTGGTTTAAGGTTATCTGTTTGCAGTCTTGGAAGCAGGGAGGAACCATTTGGGACTTTTTTAAAAAAAAAATGCCTTTTTTCATTTCCATCATGGAAAGCTAAGAGATGAAGGTGGAGACCCACTTGAAGGAGCAAACCCCCCCCCCCATGAAATATAATCTTTAAGGCTGAATGTTTTGTTTTTCAGAGTTCTGCATGGCTTCAATGCAGAAGGCATCCACTTCTCATAAAGGAAATCACTTTTGCTGGGATGAACTGATTTACATGTATAAAGATGGTATTGCAATTTCACTCATGTTGAGTGTAAACTAATCTGTGGTGTAGCCTGCTACTTTCAATTACATGGAGCTGTCAGAAGATGGAAGAGAAATAACGATCACAGTGACAGTGTGGTGAAAAAGAATATAAACCATTGATGACAGGTTTTTGTCATACTGTTTGCTGCTTCCAATAGAGGCCAACACAGAGATCCTTAATACAATTATGGTGGTATTGAGCACTAAACGTGTGCTAACCCTGTAACTTTCAAGCCCAGTTCCCTTACCAAAGACCTCATAGATTTTCTCAATTAAGTCTTCAGATTTTTTTGATTATGTATTCTATGTATATCCTATTTGTGTAATGAGAACTAAGTTATAAAGTTTTCAAGCTGTATTGGTTTTGAATAAAGATGCCATCTTTAAAAAAAAACTTCAGCTGTAGCTTTAAACCTTGCAAAAGCAGGTATATAGAATGTGCTCTAAAGATGCAGTGGAAGTACAAAGGCTATTCATTGATACTGTTTTGCACAAAAAGACTGAATATAACTGAGCAGTTTATACTTGCTCTTAAATCCCATTGAAATTAGTAGGACAAATTAGTTGTGATCAACTTAGCAGTTACAAAATTGGTATACTGTAGAGCAGGGGTGTCGAACTCATTTGTTATGAGGGCTAGATCTGATATTAATGTCACTTTGTCAGCCGAGTCATATGTGCCATAAAACATAATGCTGGGCACCGGAGATGCAAACTTTATAAAGGGCAGCAACTGGTAAGCTCCGAGTTGGTATGTTCTCACTGCAAGGCCCCATGGGCTGGGAGGGCGGTGCAGAGGAAAACCCACATGGGTGGACTGGAGAGCCAGCAGTGCAGTGCTGGGCAGACACTACCAAGCCCCAACAGAGGAATGTCTGTACCCTCCCCACATGCAAACGATCCCTATGGCCATCCAGGACCGCACCCAGAGCTGCAGGCCAAGTGATGAGGTATGAAGAA